TGTGTGTGTGTGTGTGTGTGGTGTCGGGCATGAATTGATCATGGTTAAGGTTAGAGATAAGGTCCTGGTTTGACTGTCCACAAAGAATAGAACTTAATGCAAAGTTCTTATAAGGATAGCTGTGCTAGTGTGTTGTGAATGGGAGAGAGATTGTGGTGCACGATTATATGAATATAATGCAATACTTTAGACAACAGGGGGCAGTCATACATCAAATCTGTCACATTGTTCACACTCTGTAAACATTATCTTTTGCCTTTTTTATCTGAACTGCAAGTTTAAAACTGAGATATGACATTTGAATTACAAACTCTGTTGCCTTAATCTCATGCTCACGTTACTGCCGTGTATATATTTTTGTAATAGCCCAATATTATTTCTGTCAAGCGTTTAAGTTTATTTCAACTGGAGTTGAGATGTTGTAAGATAAGATTTTTCCTCTTGGTTTAAAAATATTTGGCACAGCCTGTATGTTTCTCCTAAGCAAATGAGAGATAGTAATATTTGTCAGGAGAAAATAGAGCGTTGTTTCTATATTTAGCACATGTGTTGCTATTTGATCTGTGCAGAGTTTTGGCAGAAAATATGTTAAATGCTCTCATCCATGCTAGAATGTACTGTCGGCTATAGAGTAATTAATGTAAGATCTTAAAAAGGGAATTTATATACATCTCCACCAGTGGCCACAACCTCATGGTTTCTTTTATTTATTTGATTGTGTTGTGTTTATCTTGATGTTTATTTTTATGTCATTATTTATTAAAACAGAAATGGCTTAATGCTTGTAGCCTAGTGCTTGTCATTAATGTGGAACAGCTTGATGTGATTGGATAATTGTGCTGTAATCAGATTTAATTGCAGGTAGGTTAGTGAGTGTGAAGTCCACTGTGTGCAGCTCCTTTTACTTTGTTATTTGATGTGTGAACAACAAAAGGAAAAGAAACATTTCGTATTTTGAAAATTGATTTTGAGCACTAATTTATCCCTTGTTAATAACTTTTCCAATTACCATCACAGCAGATGGTTTGTTGGGATTAAACCTCTAAATCGTGTTACGAACCAATTTCTCATATTACATTTGGGGCTTTTTCTATCAGACAGGTGCACAATCTGAGATCTTGGAAATAAGAAAGGCTAAGTGGTTGGAAAGGGATCAGAAATGATAAGACCTGTGACGCCGTGTCCTGAGTCTGAGGGTTTGGTCCCCTGGCCTCACAGCGGTTTCCCCTGGACTTCATTTAGGGCGTCATGGACAGCAACAGCACTGCGTGGAGCTCTAGCTCTCATCCTCCACCCAACCACGGCGTGATGGCGACCGTGGTGCCCACCATCTTCCCTCGGGTTGGTTTCAGCATACTTTCCTTCCTCATGTTCATCAATACAGTGTTGACAGTTTTCAACAACAGCCTCGTCATCACCGTGATGCTGAGGAACCCATCTCTCCTCCACCCAATGAACGTTTTCATCCTCAGCCTGGCCGTGTCGGACCTCATGATAGGCCTGTGCGGCTCCTTGGTCGTCACCATCACCAACTACCAAGGCAACTTCTTTATTGGCCACACGGCCTGTGTGTTTCAAGGATTTGCAGTCAATTACTTTGGTGAGTGGAGATGTGTTTGACTATGCCTGTGAAATATAATATATTGATGGAAGGATCAAAGGATAAAATACTTCAGTTCACGCTTTAGTAAAACATTTATGTTCTGGGGCTTTTGTTTGTTTCTGTTCATATCAAGCCAGTTTCTAACTTCTGGTTTGATACAAACACTTGGAAACTGTGCAGGACATATGTGTGATGGAAAAGATTACTTATTGATTGAAGAAAGAAGATTTATTTACCAGACAATGGAAAAATGGATGAGGTTTAGAGATAAAGACATCAACTCTGCATACCACTGGCAGAACAGTGGGAGAGATGTCTTTCTGTTCACATCTGAGCTTTCAAATGATGTTTTTTTTTTTTAAATTTAATTCATGACTTTGGGAAGGAACAAATGTTGATCTAGGGTAGAAATAAAGCTTTTTCCAGAGCTTTCAACAACAGCTCATGGTCTTCTCATGAGACGTTTGCTTAGTTGTCTTGGGGATATTATGCACCACAAACTACATTGCCCAAGAGAGACTTAAAAACATACATTTGAATGTCCAGAAAAGTCTTTTAACTCCTTGAGCTGAGATTCTCTTTTTGTTTTTCCATGTAGGTTTGGTGTCCCTCTGCACTCTGACCCTACTCGCCTACGAACGCTACATCGTGGTGTGTAAACCAAGAGCTGGTTTTAAACTGAGCATGCGGAGAAGCGTCAATGGACTCATATGTGTGTGGGTCTTCTGCTTGTTTTGGGCCGTGGCTCCACTGTTCGGCTGGAGCTCCTACGGACCTGAAGGAGTCCAGACCTCCTGCTCTCTGGCCTGGGAGGAAAGATCGTGGAGCAACTACAGCTATCTCATCCTCTACACCCTCCTCTGCTTCATTTTCCCCGTCATAGTCATCATCTATTGTTACTCCAAAGTGCTCAAATCCATGGATAAGGTGGGTTCAGTATGGCGTCTGCATATTTATCACACTTTTACACCCTTAAAACTATGTTTTAAAACTCACACCTCCATCCTCATCTGTTTGCAATCTACCACCTGACTATATGAGCTTCAAATTTGTTTTTCCACTCATGCAGCTGAACAGGAGTGTGGAGCTCCAAGGGGGGCGTTCCAGCCACAAAGAGAATGATCACGCCATCAACATGGTCCTGGCCATGATTGCATCTTTTTTTGTTTGCTGGCTGCCCTACACAGTGTTGTCAGTGGTGGTGGTCGTGGACCCTGAGCTCTACATCCCTCCACTGCTTGCAACCATGCCCATGTACTTTGCCAAGACCAGCCCTGTCTATAATCCCATTATCTACTTTCTCTCCAACAAACAGGTAAGCAGCTAAAGAGATGAGATGCATAGGCTGAGTGTGAACTAAGATTGGCACAAGAAATACAGAGGCCTATTTGCATGTCATGCATGTGAAACGACTGCTCATATATTTCCTGACAGGGTGATTATGTGGTTTTTTTTATGTCCCACAGTTCCGCGACTCCACCCTGGAGGTGCTGTCGTGTGGACGATACATTCCCCATGGACCCACTAGTGTCAGCATCAACATGCATACCTTGAACAGAAGGAGCCACATGATTCCTTTAAGCAGGAATATCAACATGCAATGCAAGGTTTTGCCTCTGTGACTGTCTCCACTGTTATGGTTGTCAGCGTATGTTGGTGCCTCATCATGGACACAGACCTGCACATCCACAGGCCCCTGTCTCACACAGACGTCTTCACTGTGTCAACGAGCACAGAGTCAGAGACTTACAGCTGATGTTCATGAGGTGGAGACAAAAACAGAGAAACCTCTGGAGTAATGCAATTCAATACAATATTAAATAGATAGATCAATAGATACATAGAAGGACGGATGGACATACAGACGGAAGGACGAACAGACTGATATAGATGGATGGATGTATGGATGGACATACAGAGACGGATGAATGGACAGATAGGTTGATGGACAGACTGATATGGATAGATGGATGGACAGATAGATAAATAGATGATAGACAGATGGATGGATATATGGATGGATGGATGTACAGGGGACGTACAGATAGACAGAGGGCAGAGGGACGGACAGACGGCCAGTAGATAGATAGATAGAGAGATAGAGAGATGTATTGAACTGCATTATACTGCAGAGTTTTTTTCCGGTATTTACTCTCCATTGCATTTTTTCTAGAACAATCAGAATGATCATTAAGTTGGTTTTATTTCTGTGATTTGCTTCAATCAATAAACTATAAACTTTTTCATATTGATGTTTGCAGATCTTGTGCATGTAGAAAAAAAAAAGGAGTCAGGAAACTCTGACTGAAATAAATTTTTTCATTTGTATTTCTTTCATCTCTGTGCATTTTTTAAGAAGCCTGGACACAAGAGAGGGAGTCAAACCTTTGACTTGTTGTTCGTAGATAAAATGCACTGGACCTGTTTTTGTGTAGCGTGAGTGAGAGAGTTCCGACTCTCAGAAAGCCACTTTGTGATTAACAGTTTCAGGGAGTTGGGTAATGAAATATTGATTCACACGTAAAAAGGAGTGTGCGACCATTTTTATCTCACAAGGCATTTTTCTGGGAGTGAGTGCTGTGATTTTATTGGAAGATATGCTGCACAGTGCCTCCTTCTATGTAATATTATTATGCAAAGATTTTAAAATTAAACTTAACAATAGCCAGCTCCATCATCCAATCAACACTGGCAGCTCCGCCACGTCATTTTACTTACTGTGTATTACGCAATAAGTCTTTAACCAACATTTCCAGACTTCTGTTGCAAAAAAATATTTCATCACTGCAGTGAACTGTATATAGGTTTCATTTTGCTTATAAATAGATGTATGAATGCAGGAGTTACTCATTAAAAAAACATTTTCAGTTGCAGAAGCAACAAAGGTAATTTTGTCTGATCCCATTAGACAAAATCAGATTAGAACAACAGGATATTATCATGCACTTGTTAAAGGTCCAGTGTGTAAGATTTAGGTGAAAGGGATGACTTAGCAGAAATTTAATGTAGAATAATCCTCATGATGTTTTCACTAGTTCGTTTCATCTAAATTGTATGAATTGTAGTTTTCTATACCCCAGAAAAGGCCCTTTATATTTAAATACCTTCAATTCAGATGGGGGCGGGGGGGGGTCCTCTCTGTGGAGGCGGACATGTTTTTCGCTGTCGTCCAAACTGGACAAACTAAAACCTTTTGAGTTTTTATGACAACTGAAGGCTACCACTTCTTCTTCATGTTTGGAAGGAGAGGGTGATGTGAGGGGTGTTCAGCTGCAACATGCAACTTCAACACTAGATATCACAAAATTCTACACACTGTACCTTTAAGCAACATGTATTTTAACAATGTTGATTCAGTGAGACATTGAAAGATTTTTCTCGGTTGGCCTGCTCTGTGCTCTGCACGGGGGGTGGGGGGGACTGTATGATTTTCAGATTTATTATCTCTGTAGACAGTTGAGAGGGGGAATGATGACATAATGACACAGTCTGTGGTTCTGATTCAAACCCGTCACGTCGAGTCTCACATGGCACACGCTGAGTCACCACAGCTAACACTAACACGCATCAGTGGATAAAGATGAAGAGACAGGATGCTATTAAAGAGAATTTCAACTGTTGATTGAGCTACTAGGCTTAATCTTTTTTTTATGATTGTTTATTATATTGTGATTTACTTTATTGTGTTCCTATGCTTTTTCAATTAACCATAATTTAACCATGATGTTACTTTTGATGATGAGAGAATAAACATTTTCAATATTGCAAATATCATTGAATGTGACAATTTATTTATTCAAATGACCCAAACATCTTTACATAATGTCACTTGGTTGTTCCACACATCTCTTACTTTAAATTACATTGCAAATAGTAACTACAGACTTCATACTCATGACTTAATTTGTATGTACTGGAATAGAAATGGGTGCCCATAATGCAAAGTTTGGGGTAAAGTCATTTGGAAATATGTCAAGATTCTGGATTCATTAGGGTTTGTTGGTTGAATTTTATTTTAATTTTGTCCTTTTCCCTCCATCTAAGTCCACCTGCTTGATGTAAATATTGTAAATCAAATTATAAATAAAGCGTTTTTCATTTGCAACTACCCCTTTGTCTCATAATTTCTATTCAAACAAGTTGCTTGATGTGTTTTCTTAGGTCACAACATCCGAAAATATTCACATTTATTTTAAGACGCTGAGAAGATTGACAACTTCGCCACAGTTTCTTCCACAGCGCTTCCTGTTTATGTCTGTTGAGAGACATTTGATCAGTCTAATATGTAGGATGGTCAGGAGAAAAATGTATTGTGTTGATCTAATCCCAGATTTGGCATAGTCCATAAGCTTTCAGATCTGAAGCAAAGAGCATTTCACACTTTATCTCCAAACAGGATTACACAATGTCATGCTATAATCCAGCAGCATGGCTTCCCTTATTTCCTGAGCCAATTCAAGAACTCCCAACTCATCCATCTGGCATAGCTAATGCGGGGCTTTTAACCTTTGTGTGGTGCTGTATTAAATGAAATGGATAGCTGTTCAGTTCACACACACACACACACACACACACACACACACACACA